TAGTTGGAAAAGCCTCCACTGTGGGAGAGCAGGATCAATGGTATGGGTTGTGTGTCACAGGAAAGTGCAGCTTCATTTAATGTCACAGAGGATAGAACTGGTGCAAGGGATCAAGGCAGTAATCTCTACACTGATATTGCTGGGGGTATGGAGCTGGGGGTAGCACATTTACAGATCCTGGAGGAAAAAATTACAGTATGAATGGATACTCAGTTACGGGGATTCTCAGCAAGAGTTTTAACTGTGTGGTTGGACAAGAAAGACTGACTTAGAGAATCTTCAGAAGTTAGGAATGGCCTGTGTTGGAGGACTTGAAGAGTTCCTGGTGGGCAGAGATACCTGACAGAAAGTGAACAGCAGGCAAAAGGCTACTGATGTGGCAGCATGGTTTAAAAGAAGAGAGAAGATGTTGGAACTAGATTAAGAACGCTGTGTTAGTTCTAGTTTGACCAGGCACTGAGAGACACGTGAGATATTAGAGACAAAGTTTAGAGCAGTTCAGCATCCAAGTCTTCACAGAAATAGCAGCCAAAATTTTTTTTTGCTTCAAAGATAACGCAATGAAGCGCAGAGGGAGAAAAGGAGGGAGACAAAGAGGAAGCTTGGGAGCATGAGGGAGGAACCGACTCTTGGAACTTTGCTGGTGTCAAACTCTCTAGAGGGGTATATCTGCCCAATGCCCATAACAGACCATCTCACAGGAACAGTGAGGCACTGATACCCTCAGGGTGATATCTTGCTTTGAACCTGCCTGCAGAAGGCAGTAACAGGGTTTCAGCTGTAACTCAGAGCTTCTGTCTCTGATCCCCAGGTTCTCATTCCTCAATGACCCTGGTTTCCATAGGTATAAAACTTTGCAGAGATAAGACATGATGAATCCCACTGGCATTTTGTAAGCTTGTGAGGGTACTAACTTGCCTTTGTGCTACCTCTTTTCAAACTTTTATGCTCACTGAAAGAGCAAATTCACCCTCCTTTTTCCCTGTCCTCAATATCTGTTTTCTATGTCTACTCTACTTGTTTTCCAGAGGCCTCCACTTTTTATCCTGGAGATACGAAGGAAATGCCACTGTCAAGAGATTAATTTTCTGTTCATAGTCTTTGATTCTATCTTGCTTTTATCCCTAGGGCTGGGGACAATGGGCCAAGGCATTGTGACTTCTCTGGTTAAGGCCAACATACCTGTGGTAGCCCTGGAGCAGAATCTGGAGTATCTGAACAAGGGAAGAAAAGCTGTGATGCTCCTTTTGGAACGGGAGGCTATGAAAATGGAGGAGGGTGCCCAGACCCTGGATTTCCATAACCCTGCACGTCTCCAGTTCACTGTGGACTTTGATCTGATGCGTGATGTAGATCTCGTCATTGAGGCTGTGTTTGAGAACATGGCACTAAAGAAGGAAATATTCCACAAGCTGTCAAAGATCTGCAAGCCAGGAGCCTTGCTGTGCACAAACACATCAGCCCTGAACATTGATGAAATAGCTTCTGCCACGAGCCGCCCACAGCAGGTCATTGGCACCCACTTCTTCTCCCCTGCCCACGTGATGAGGCTGCTGGAAATCATCTATGGCCGCCACACGTCCCCCACTGCCATCGCCACTGCTATGCAGCTGGCCAAAGCCCTGAAAAAAGTTGGAGTGGTGGTAGGGAACTGTTTTGGGTTTGTTGGGAATCGCATGATGTTTCCGTATGTACAGCAAGCAGTTTTCCTTTTAGAGGAAGGAAGCAAACCAGAAGCAGTAGATCAGGTTCTTGAAGATTTTGGGTTTAAGATAGGCCCTTTCCGCATGTCTGACCTTGCCGGGCTGGATGTGGGCTGGAGGTCTCGGAAGGACCAGGGCCTGACTGGGCCGTCCCTCGCTGCAGGCACACCGGCCCGGCAGCGGCACGGCCAGCGCTACAGCCCCCTGCCAGACCTCCTGTGTGAGCATGGCCGCTTCGGCCAGAAAACCGGCAAAGGCTGGTACCAGTACGAGAAGGCTGGGGGCAGGACAGCCACGCCAGACCCATGGCTCCACAACTTCCTGTCCCAGTACAGAGACACCCATAGCATCAAGACCCGCTTTATAGACCAGGAGGAAATCCTGGAGCGGTGTCTGTTTTCCCTCATCAACGAGGGGTTTGCCATCCTGGCTGAGGGAATAGCATCAGGCCCAGAGCACCTGGATGTCATTTACATCAATGGCTACGGGTGGCCGAA